GAGAAGTTCCTCTTTGTTCCCTATTTGAGTGGCAAAGCTGGCAGGTGACATTAAGCCTCCTGATTTCACATCTAGTCTCACTGCTTCCCAAGTCTAATCCCAAAACACCAAGAAGAAAAGCTTCTTACCACTTGGGCTTCGGAACAGGACAGGTGCAGCAGAGTTGTCAGGGTCCTGGTGGGTGGCCTCCACATCCATCTCATCACTGTCAGACTCCTCAGCCATAGCCTCTTCTGCTCTCTCCTCATGCTCCCAGTCCCCTTGCCCTAGCTCCTTAGTCTCAGCATCATTGCCCACCAAGCCAGAGTGAGAGGCTGCCTCTTCCAGGCCATTACTGGGCAGGGCAATGACCTGGGCACTCATTAGGGCTTCCATCTCTTCAAAGAAGGGGCAAATCTCACGTGGGTGGCCACTCTTTACTTTCCGATAGCTCTTCTGGAGACCTTTGAACTTGGTCCGACACTGTTCCAGGGTTCGGAGGAAGCCGTATTCCCGGAGGCGCTCAGCCACAGCCCCATATACTTGACTGTTTCGATGACAGTTTCGGAGAGCCTCATAAAATTCAGTCTGGCTGAGAATTGCAAGGAGCGTTCTGGTCTCTTCATAGCCCCAATGCACACCTGCCACTTTCTCATCCTCAAAGCCCCAGTGATCCTGTTCCACCCAGCTGCTTCTCTCTCTCTTGGATAACAACAGATCAGCATACACTTGGCTATCTCCTGTGTGGCTGCCTCTTGGAGGTTCTTTCTCCTTGGAGCCCAACAGACCTGGGATCCATGGCTCTCCTTGCTCCAACCTGGAGACCACACTGGATTTAGGAAATGGAAATCCTGCTTGCAGGGAAGCAAACAAAGGGGTATCATAGTTTGGACCAATCATAAGAAAAAATCTCTCAATTCATTCCTGCCTTTTTATCCAAGAGGATTATAAAGTGTCTAGGGAAATGTTTTCAGAAAGTTCAGTGGGTTGAAGAAAGTGGGAAAAATATAGGAAACCTCAGAAGATGAGAAATATTTTCCAGAGCAGGGTGACAAGAGAGGAAAAATTCTGTCGTGGGTTCAGAGCAGATAATTGTATTCCAAGTTGCTCCCTAGCACTCCTGACCACTTGTACGCATGTCCTAGCACTGCTGTGAGCAGTCACCTGCTGTCTCCTATTGTTCAATTAGGGCTAGAGAATTAAACTCAGAGTGACTTCAGGGGGAAGGAGACAAGAGGGAAGGAAACTCGTCTGTTTCCTTCACAGTCACTACCGTCCTGTCCTTCATTTCCATTCCTACTGCCACCATCTAAGTCCAGACTCCTTATCCTCTCACACCTGAATAAATGCAGCAGTCATTGTCCTATCTAACTCCAGTCTCTTGCTTCCTCAGCTCACAAGCTATCCTGCTGAGGCTTAACCTTAGTGTTTATCATGCACTGTCCATTCCTGTTAGACTTTTCTCTCCAGAACACAGCACTTTTATTTATCATTCTGTGCCTTTCATTTAACTCCCTTCCTCCTATCCAAATTCAGCCTGTCCTTCAAGAAGCTGTATTTGTCAATGCTCCCCAAAAGCCTTCCTTACAGCCGCCTACCTTCATCTCCCACTTATTCATTGTTTGGAATTGTTTCAATACAGTTCAGTACAGCACAAATTTAGGTGTTATCAGCACCGCACTCTCCCAAGTGAGCCATGGGCCGGCCCTATAGTTTGCTTTTGTGTTCTCAATCATATTGCAAGCTCTCTGAGGATAGGCACCTTTTCTTACTGCAGAGTACCCTTCAAGATGTTGAGAACATGATAGGTGTTCAAAAACTGATTAATTCTGCAAGTCTGTGTGTTAGGTTGAGGGATTTCATCTGGATGACTAAACAGAGACCATTACCAAAACGGCTAAGAAGGCTATGGCCTTGGATGATAAGATCAGAATTTAAAACAATCTCAAGTTTTGAATAAAATAATCAAAGGGGGAAAAAAACATACAAAATGGAGTTTGATAGAGTACAAAGAAGAAAAACAAGTTCTACAAAATCAAGTACAAGAATAAGCAGCTATGTACAGAGGTAATGGGGAAAGCTTTAAGTGTCCTGGGAATTACCAGGTGAACAAAAATCACCATATATGGGCCGGCCCGTGGCTCACTCGGTAGAGTGCGGTGCTGATAGCGCCAAGGCCCCGGGTTCGGATCCCACATAGGGATGGCCGGTTCGCTCACTGGCTGAGCGTGGTGCTGACAACACCAAGTCAAGGGTTAAGATCCCCTTACCGGTCATCTTTTTAAAAAAAAAAAAAAAATCACCATATAATTTTATATTGGATTATACTGAAAAAAGATGTTGCAAAATTCTGAAGTAAAATTTTTATTCAGCCTCTACCTAACAGACCCTCACTGGAATAATATGTATAATTTAGTTCTCCACAATTAACATGATATTTGGAGAACTTAAAGTTCCAAAGGAGAGTGACAAAAACTTGGGTCTGAAGAATGGAACTTATGGGGGAAAGCTTAAAAAAATAGAGAAAGGAAACAAGTAAAAGGAAGATGTTACTTCAAGTACAGAAAAGAATTTTTATCTAGAAAATAGTGACCTATGATCATCATTACCAGGAGGAAACAAAAGAGATCCAAGTTCTGATAAGAACTAGGGGGCCATTCTCTAGCAGACTTATCAAAAGAGGAAATGTAAGAATACCTACTATACCAGAGGGCTAAAGTACATGTCTTCAGGAGGTCCCCAACAACCAAATATTCTACAATTTCCACTTATTCCTAAGATCCCTTTCCCACTCACTATTCCCAACCCTACTTCCCAACTTAGAATGGCACTCTATCTTCCCATATGAATCTACTCCTCACCGCTCCTTTGAAAAGGTCTGAGCTTCTCCTTTGGGTTCATCTGCTCCTGTGGTCCCAGGTCTGGGCTTCTTGCCCTCTCTTTCTTGGGTACATCCCTGGGCTGGGGTTCCACTGACTCCTGCCGAACACTTAATAACTCTTGTGATGATTTCAGGGGTGTCATCTTCTCCGAGTGCACTTCCTGCCCCTTCACAGAGACTGTGACCTAGAAACAACCCCCATTAATTGTCACTGCAAGGTCAAAATGAGGGGCATTCGCAGAAGATATTATTTAATACCCCAAAAGAGATCATCTTTTGGGGACATTGCTAGGGTTGTAGGGGTAGGAGAGGTTACAGAGAACAAGGGTCTTATTCCATTATTGTTAGCTTAGAGCAGCTGGAACTCCAGAAGGAAAAGATCAAAACAGTAAACTCAACTACAAGCTGAAAAAAAAAATTTCCCCAGAAACTAGAAAAAACTCATTATGACAGGGTAGGCAAAGATACACCCAGGTAGTAACTCCAGACAAACACTATCTGAAAAAGTTACCTGTTCCAGACCAGAAGTATAAGCATCGCCAAGGGAGACTGTGTATAACTTAATTTGGCCCTCTGCCCTTACCCCTTCCCAGTCTCACATTTCTGAATTCCCTCTCCCTTCTCACCAAATGTGCGGGTCTTCCAGGCTCTCTTTCTAAATCTTCCACCAGAGTCACTGCCTCCTCTCCACTTTCTGGACATTGCTCCTGTACCCAATTCTGGATCTCCCCAGGTAGGACAGTCAGGAACTGCTCTAGCACCAACAATTCTACAATCTGCTCCTTGGTGTGCACCTCCGGCCTTAGCCACCGACAGCAAAGTTCCCAGAGTTGGCTGAAAGCCTCCCGGGGCCCAGCCACCTCCTGGTAATGGAATCTCCTGAAGCGCTGTCGGAAGGTCTCAGAGTTAGTGCCACTGCCTTTCAAAGTGGGTTTGGCCATCATTCACAGGAGAAAGCAGTTTCCCTCCACTTAAGGGTCCAAGTTCCAGGGCTCACACTTATCTTGCCCTGTCTTTGGAGAATCACCTGCAGGTGAGTCAGTCTCTCTAAGAGTTTCTTCCTGGAGTAGAGAGAGGGCACTATCAGAAGGAATATATTCATATGTCTAAAGTCTTGCCAGGGCTGGCCTGACTTCCCATGTGCTCCAAGTGGCCATCTGAGGTAGCGCCATCTTCAGGGCAGCAAGCCAAAACTGAGCACGAAGGAGAAAGATCTTTCAAAAGCTGCATGTCTGGGCGACTTCCAGGGCAGCCTCAGGAAGCAGCAGAAGATAGAAAGTAGTCTGTTCCTTTCCCACCTCCCCCAAATCTGATCCCACTTAACGGCCCTGACCAATGTCGCACAGTGTGTTCGAACCCTAAGAGAGGAGATCGAGAAGATCTAAAGGCAAATCACCATTCTTCTGAAAGGCAACAAAAAGCCTCCGTCCAGCGGGTCGCGGCTGATCACCTCCAGTACCTCTGCAGTCCTTCCAGAGGCCTTCAGCGTCCGCCCCGCCCCCTCAGATCCCACAACTACCAGTTCCCATCCCAGACAAAAATCAAGTACTGAGTATCGGGTCTTTGTTTTCCCCTCACAGGAAAAGTAACCGCTCAGCAAGGGTTTGGGAGCTACTGACGGGAAACCTCGCGCATCGGGAGAAGTACGTTTTGGCTCCTGAAGCGAGGACCGGGTGGCCTTGGGGAGAGTCGCACTGAGTTGGTGGAGAGAGGGAGTCCGAGGGGGCAGTAGTAATGGGTCTCCTGAGGACGAGCTCGGGTGCTGGCCAGGGGCTCCGAGTGCTGCGGGCTCGCGGGCACGGGGCTCAGCTCAAGGAGCGGCGGGCGCGGGGTTCCGGCCTCTTTGTCTTCGCTCCCTCCGGCCGGGTCACTCTCGGCGCCTTCGTGCAGTCCCTCCAGATGCCAACGACCGGGATAAGACGCCCTGAGAGCACCTTCCGGCCCACCGCTTGAAGCGTCTCCCTCTCGAACTGTCCCTCAATACACTCACATCCCTACCCCCAGGCCAGCCACACCCGCTCGCAGTCGAGCCTCAGCCCCGGCCCTCCAGCCTCCGGAGGGTCCAGCTCCCAAGCCGGAAGTCCAATCCGCAGACTCGGGGCACCGAGAGCGCATGCGCAAGGACGCGACCGCGCCATCCTCTCCGAGGAGTCTGGGCAGGAGCTAGCGGTCGGACCCAGCGAGTCACAGCTCACTTCCGGGACTCAGCGTGCCATCGCCTTCTCGGCTTCCTGTACGCTCCTCCCTCAACTGTCTCGGCGGGTTGATTCAGGACTAACCGCCCGACCCAGTGGCCTGTGCGTGTACCCAAGGGGAGACGCTCGCCCCCGTGGTCGCCTGGGGGGGCGCTGGAGGAGGGGGTGACGTATCTGGGGACTCGAGGTTCGCCGTGGGCATGATCCACGAACTGCTCTTGGCTCTGAGTGGGTACCCAGGATCCATTTTCACCTGGAACAAGCGGAGTGGCCTGCAGGTACTGCCTGACTCAGGGCGTGGGAAGTAGGGAGCGCAGAATCGGTGGACCCGAGCCGGCGCCTGGGGAGGAGTCTGAAGGACCTAGGGGGCGGGGCTTGCAGGGCCTAGGGGAGTGTCCCTGGGCAGGTGACTAGAGTGCCTACGGGTGATGTAAATAGCTTGAGCGGACTGGGCCTAGGCTGGGAAACAGAGGGCAGATCTTGAATGACCTTGCCTTGGGAGGGTTGGGGGCCGGGGACAGGGCCTAAGGTCTAGTTGTCTGGACTAGAGTTGCTGGGGAACGACTTAAAAGTGAAGACAGCACTTCCTCCTATTTATTTTCACGCTTGCATTCTGTTTCAAACTGAGTTTTGAAGGTTGGGCCAGATACACCGCGTTTAACACACAATAAGCGCTCAGCAAATTTTGCGCTATGACGAAGTGAATTCGAGAGCCTGTGGTGTGGTTCCTTCATTACTCCTTTCCCAAGAAATTTCTGCAATAGGTGGAGAACTTGATAGGAAGCCTTCGTGTAACCAAGAATGTATGAGGAGGAAGGGCTGTGCTATATTTTGCGCATATGCGGTATCTCATTTAATTCTCATAACCACCCTATGTCCGTTTTACAGATTAACCCCAGCTCAGAATGTTAAATAACTCCTGGGGTCACATAACTAGTTATTAGCGGATATTAGTTTTGAACCGAGGTCTGTCCCACTCCAGTTATCTTAACTGCTCTTACCTACTTCTGCTTCCAGTAATGTTATCTAATGCTCTCAATAACTTAATAACTTAGGTGTTGTTAGCCCCTGCCTTGGGTTGAACATCCCCCCTAAACTTAATCCCTGCTGTAACTGTCGAGGGTGGGAAATCCTATTATTGTAATTGCAAGGTGGGGTCTTGAAAAGGTGATTAGATTATAGGACAATGCTGTAGTGAATTGATTAAAAATGGTGGTCATGGGCGTGGTTCTGAGGGCTTTAAAAGGAAGTGGGGGCCGGCCCGTGGATCACTCGGGAGAGTGCGGTGCTGATAGCACCAGAGCCACGGGTTCGGATCCCATATAGGGATGGCCGGTTTGCTCACTGGGTGAGCATGGTGCTGACAACAGCAAGTCAAGGGTTAAGATCCCCTTACCGGTCATCTTTAAAAAAATAAATAAATAAAAGGAAGTGGATTAGGAGCTATTTCATTCTCTGCTCCACCATTTTTTGCCATAAGAGACCTCTGGATTACTGTCGCTACCACCAAGACCCTCACTAGATGTGTGCCCTGGACTTTGCATTTCCCAGCCAACGAAACTGTACGCAATAAATTATTTTTTCTTTATAAATTACCGAGTTGCAAGTATTTTGTTATATAGAAACGGACAATACAGCCCCAGTGTACAAATGAGCAAACTGACGCTCAGAGAACTTTAACTTTAGCTGGCTAGTCCTGGTAGTGGCAAGATTGGAATCTAGGTGTGTCCGATCACTAAGTCATGCCTGTTCCTGGATAATTGGCAATATAGGCTTTGGAAGACCAGAAAAATTACATTCTTAGTCTATAAAACCTATAAATCAAATAGATTCCTCTTGTTATTGTTTATGAAGGTGTATTTGGGGTTTGGGAGTTTAAATGAGTTTTTTCAAAAAAAAAGTGAGGTGAAAATTTGGATAGTGAAGTTCGAATAGTTACTTTTCAGTGTAGGTCTTCAAAGACTGAGTTGGTGTTTCTCTCTTCCCCAGAACTTAGCACAGTGCCAGGCTATATAGGAGGAAAGTGTTCAGGAAGTATTTGTGGGTGCTTGACTGTCTGAAGTAAAAAGAGATAACAGAGTATAAGTAACATATCTGGGGGGAGAGCCACAAATAATTCATCTTGCTTATTAAAAATGTCTCAATCAGATTTTTTCCTCATTTTCATCAGTAGGTCTCAGCTTTAAAGTCATTTCCTCAGAAAAACTTTCTCTACCCCCATCCTTTTTTTTTTTTTAAAGATGACCGGTAAGGGGATCTTAACCCTTGACTTGGTGTTGTCAGCACCACGCTCAGCCAGCGAGCAAACCGGCCATCCCTATATAGGATCCGAACCCGTGGCCTTGGTGTTATCAGCACCGCACTCTACCAAGTGAGCGATCTTAACCCTTGACTTGGTGTTGTCAGCACCACGCTCAGCCAGCGAGCAAACCGGCCATCCCTATATAGGATCCGAACCCGTGGCCTTGGTGTTATCAGCACCGCACTCTACCAAGTGAGCGATCTTAACCCTTGACTTGGTGTTGTCAGCACCACGCTCAGCCAGCGAGCAAACCGGCCATCCCTATATAGGATCCGAACCCGTGGCCTTGGTGTTATCAGCACCGCACTCTACCAAGTGAGCCATGGGCCGGCCTATCTACCCCCATCCTTAAGTTAAGTATCCTTCTGTGCCATTATTCTCTATCACAGTAACTTGTTTATTTCCCTTACAGGACTTATCACAATTTGTAATTATTATTTTTGTTACCTGTTTATAATAGTCTTTCTCCCACATAGATTGCCTGTGGGACAAAAACCACAGTGGTCTTCATTCATGCACCCAAAGCACCTAGCACAGTTTCTGCCACATAGTAGGTGTTCAGGTATTTGTGGAAGAAAGGATAATGACAACAATTATTGCATACTTTCTGCAGTGTTTTTCATATTTGAACAAAGGGAAGAATTGTCATGAATGCTCAGTATTGATGAAAATTATTTTTATTGTAATATCGAATATGTATACATATGAAGCTAGGTATAAACTCAAGCATATTGCTTTCAGACAGCTACCAAATTTTTGCAAATTAAATGTAAACAAAACCAAATCAATAAATTCAAATTAACATTACTCTAATGCAGGGTTTCTTAATTTTGGCACTATTAACATTTTGGACTGGTAACTCTTTGTTGTGGGGTGCTGTCCTGTGCCTTGTAGGATGTTTAGAAGCTTCTGTGGCCTCTACCCACTAGATACCAGTACCATTCCCCCAGTTCTGACAACCAAAAATGTCTCCAGAAATTGTCAGATGTTCCTTGGAGGGCAAAATTGCCCCCAATTGAGAACCACATATCTTATGTGACATATAATATTGTTTTGCTGAAATTAAATTGGCAACACTGAGTTTAACAGAATAACATAGGCACAGATCTGGTTCTATATTTTCTATTTTGACTTAAGTAACTCTAATGTATAGAATGCCTGTTCATATAAGTATGTTGTACAACGTGATATCAGTAACTTCAGGGTATTGTTTGCTGATTCAGAGTAATTAAGTCTTGAACTTTTCTAAAACTCTGCCAATAAGAAATACTCAAGGGCTGGCTGGTTAGCTCAGCTGGTTATAGTGCAGTGTTGTAACTCCAAGGTAAAGTGTTTGAATCCCTGCACCGGCCAGCCACCAAAAAAAAAAAAAAGAAAGAAAGAAAGAAAGAAGTGCTCAAATGCCAATTTTAATGGAGGTATCACTTGATGACTGGGTAGAGCTATCTTATTAATGATTTTTTTTCCCATTTGTTCAACATTTATTGAATGCTTACTATCTGAAAGGCATTGTTACAGACCTTAGTTCTTATTACAAAAATCCTGAATCCCACCTATATTATATCTACATTCCACTTACAAGGTACAGACATGTTCATTTGCTTTCTTTTTTTTATGTAATACCTTACATTTTCTTTTTACATACCACATGCATACTTATGTTATATGTACTTCTTTAAAAGTTATATCTTGTTAATAATTTTTAAATGCTTATATGTTCTTGTGTGCTTGGCACGTGTGTTTTATATGTATAAACTTATTTAATGTTTATAATAATTATGTCCAGTCTGTAGGTTTGAAAACTTAGGCACAGAGACATATAGTAATGTGCTTAAGCTTTCAAGCAAGTAAGAAGCAAGTCAGAGATTCAAACTCAGGCAGTCTTGTCTCCAAAACCAGATTCTTAAGCACTATGTCACGCTATATCATAAATTAGTAATTTGAAGATATGATTAGCATTATGTCATTAAAATGTACATTAAATGGATTTCTAATCACATTACTGTGGGCTCAGTAACAAAAATTCTTCTTTGCCTATTTACTACCACATTTATTGTCATATAAAGATAGCATCCACAAAATATAATGCTCAATATGAATATGTAATATGCTAAGTTCCTCTGGAGTGGTAACTTTGTATGATTTTGTTCACTTTTTCATCACAGAATGTTAACACAGTGCCTGGGATATAGTAGGTGTTCATTAAAAGCTGGTCAATTCTCCAAAGATGTACAAATGGCCAATAAGTACATGAAAATATGCTCAATATTGCTAATCATTAGAGAAATACAAATCAAAACCATAATGAAACACCGTTTCAAATTCATATGGATAGTTATTATTAAAAATAAAAAAATAACAAGTGTTGGCAAGGTTGTGGAGAAATTAGTATCCTTGTTTATTGCTGGTGGAAATGTAAAGCAGTGCAGCCACTCAGAAAACAGTAGGGTAGTTCCTCAAAAAATCAAATGTTGAATTACCATATGATCCAGCAATTCCTCTTCCAGGTACAAACCTGAAAGACGTGAAAGCAGGGACTCAACAGATATTTTTACAGCCATGTTCATAGAGCATTATTCACAATAGCCAAAAGGTAGAAGCAACTCAAGTGTCTATCAGTGGATGAGTGTATAAACAAAATGTGGAATATACACACAGTTGAATATTCAGCCTTAGGAAGGAAACTCTGACACATGCTACGAAATAGATGAACCTTGAGGACATCATGCTAAGTGAAATAGCCCAGTCACAAAAGGGCAAATGTATGATACCACTTATATCTCATAGCTAGAGTAGTCAAATTCATATAGACAGAAAGTAGAATGGCGGTTGCCAGAAGCTGGGGGGAGGGGAGAATGGGGAGTTAGTGTTTAATTGGTATGAGTTTCAGTTGCGGAAAACAAAAAAGTTGTTGAGATTGGTGGTGGTGATGTTTGCAGAACAATGTGAATGTCCTTACTGCCACTAAGCTGTACACGTGAAAAGGTTAAAATGGTAGATTTTATGTTATGTATATTTTACCATAATTTTTTTAAAAGTTGGTTGTATGAATATATTATCTCACTACTTTTTTCTACATGAACTGCTGTGAAACCTTTATATAGCATATTAGGCTATCTTCATTTAAATTAAAAATACAAATGCAAATATGGACACTGAATTTTAATGGCCAGTTATAAGATGCTTTTACAGATTGTAGTATGCTTATATTAATTTTAGATTTTTATTGTAGTAAAAATAAAATTTCAAATTCTATACAGAATTTGTAAATCCTAAGAATATGTCTGAGAAACCCCCAGAATCTGCAGACCTCCATTTGAGCAACATTGCTTAAGACACCTTGTTGCAACAGGTCCAATCCCATATCTTTATAGGATATCCTCGAAGATTGCATGAGAAACAGGTGATAGTGGCTGCCTCTGGAGAGATTGACTTATTTTTAATGTATAACATTTTGTACTGTTTGAATTCTTTACCATGTGTTACCTATTACAAGAAGCAAATAATTGGATGGGGTTGGAGAACAACACCTTTGCAGTAGTTTGGAAGTACCTTTGTTATCCAGAACTCACCAACCTGAAGTAGGCATCTTGAGAAGGGAAAAGGTGAATAGTATGAAGCATTTGAAGTGCCTCAGAGAACATGGAGGAGTGACTAGCAGGCATCAGTGATTTAGGCATTGTCCCTCTTCCTGCAGGTGTCACAGGACTTCCCATTTCTCCACCCCAGTGAGACCAGCGTCCTGAATCGACTCTGCCGGCTTGGCACAGACTACATTCGCTTTACTGAGTTCATTGAACAGTACACTGGCCATGTGCAGCAACAGGTAGGACCTGTGCTCAGGGGAATGTGTACCTCTAGTGGGCAGGAGCTAGTCAAGCTTTCATTGAGTCATTGGTCTGGATTATTCGTATGAAATAAGTTATGAATTTCTCATCACTGGAAATACTCAAGGGAAAACAAGGTCTGTTTTTTGTATATAACACTTAAAAGAAAAAAGACTGTCCTATGTTCATGTTACCATGTGGATTTTATCTTATATGATTTGTGAATTCCTATGTTTCCAAGTTCTAAAGATACCTGTAGTACCTACCTTTTTTTTTTTAAAGATGACCGGTAAGGGGATCTTAACCCTTGACTTGGTATTGTCAGCACCACACTCTTCCAAGTGAGCTAACCAGCCATCCTTATATAGGGATCCGAACCCTTGGCCTTGGTGTTATCAGCACCACACTCTCCCAAGTGAGCCACGGGCCGGCCCTTTTTTTTTTTTTAAGTAAAAAACATACTCATTTCTTCTTTCATTTTGTGATAAATGGAGATATTTGAGTCTCTGGAATGACACAAGATCAAAATAAAATTGGCTGGCTATAAGCCAGTCTGGTGTATGTTTCACCCTAAGATCATGCTGTTCTTTTTATAGCTATGAAGATTTATCTTTAGGAACTACTAGTATCCTTTGCAGCATCCTCTGGCTACACTATGGTTTATAACCCCTGAGCCCAAGCTTCCTACCACATTTGTTGCTGAATTCTGCTATCGTGTTTACCACCACTGGAGTCTGATCACCTAATCAGCGCATTGCCAGGGAGGCTAGTCATCGTAGCCTCTAGTCAACTGTTAATTGCAATTCTTCATATAAAACTACATGAGAAGCTCCTATAAAAAACGTTTAAGTGTCCTGAAAGACAAGTTGTATTTGTTTATTACTTCTTGATGAGAGTCTCTCAACTCCCCATTTGGCTGTCAGATTCATGTTCTTGATGAATTGCCAAGCCAGGCAGGAGAAGGGACATTAGAAGGAGTATGGGGTCATTTTGTTCAGTTAGTAAATATTAGCCCCTCTGTCCAAAGAACTGTGCTAGGAGCTGATACACAAAGATGATAAAGTGTGGTCCCTGACTTCGTGAAGCTCTTGGTCTAGTGAAGGAGGCATATAAACAAAAAAACAGTTCAAGCACTAAGTAGAGATGTTATAAAAACAACAAAGTGGAGCTGTTAATTCCCTAGGGAGAGTTAGAAGGGGCTTTGCAGAGAAGAGGTACTTGAGCTTGGTCCTGCAAGAAGAGTAGGTGTTTGCACCTTATCTTGCACAAAGATAAGGTGCATCATTATAAGCAGAGTTTCAGTCCAACTTCACAGGGGTGAGAGAGAAGCAAGACACATCTGGTGAACTGTAGGTAGTTTGGAAATGAGGATGTGAAGTTGGAAGCAGTGAAAGATAATTGTGGAGAAATGGGTAAGGGCCAAAATGCAGAAATCATTATGTGCCATGTATAGGACTTCAGATATTATTCTAGGACAGTGGGAAGCCACCAAAGGATTTTTTTTTCCTTTTTGTCTTTTTTCATGACCGGTAATGGGATCGCAACCCTCGGTGTTGTGCCCGTACCGCGACCGGCAACGGAATCGCAACCCTCGGTGTTGCGCCCGCACTGCGCTCAGCCAGTGAGCGGACTGGTCTCTACATGGGATCCGAACCCTCGGCGGGAGCGCTGCCGCACTCCCAAGCACCGCACTCAACCGAGTGCGCCACCGGGCCGGCCCAGCCACCAAAGGATTTTAAGCTGAGAATAGTAAAGTCAGAATTGAGTTGTAGAGAAATCTCCATTGACAGTATACAGTACTACTTGGTTGTTTGTAACATCTGGGCCTCCCTGGAAAATTAAAATATTATCAAATTTTTAAATGTCAGAGCTCAAAATCTTTATCCTCAGTCAGGTTTTCCTCTCACTGAAGCACTGCTTTGATATGGAGTTATTAAGAAAAAACAATACCACTAATAAAGGATATTGTCTTCCTCAGGTTTCAGGGCCTGAGCTGAGTTGACTTTTCTTTCTTTGATTTCAGGATCACCATCCATCTCAGCAGGGTCAAGGTGGGTTACATGGAATCTACCTGAGGGCCTTCTGCACAGGGCTGGATTCAGTTTTACAGCCTTATCGCCAAGCACTGCTTGACTTGGAACAAGAGGTGAGAAAGAGGAGACATAGGAAACAATACCTCTGGCCCAGCTGGAGGGTACAGTGTTCTCTGTGATTGCCCAAGCAGTGAGTAAAGTGGCTTACAGATCATGGCAAAGGTTCCTGACTTTACAGGAGCACTGGCTTTGGTTTGTTTATTATCTGAAAATTAGAATAAATTACCAGTTCTCTGTATTCCAGAGCCAACACCAAGCGCATTCTCAGATTCTCTTCTAGTTTTCATAGCTCAAATAGATTGGAGATATTTTGTGTGGAGCTCTAACCACAATATTTTTTCTTGCAGTTCCTGGCTGACCCCCATCTCTCCATATCACATGTCAATTACTCCTTAGATCAGGTATGCTGCCCAAATAACAAAATATCTTGGAATCTTGATATTGCCTGAATAATCTAATTTACAACATTATTTTTAGAATTTTTTTCCTTCTGCATTCAGAGCACATGTTTTATATTTTATGTATTTTATGCTTTACTGGATCAGAACTGTTTCAAGAGTTACAAATTTACTTAAAACTTGGTGTCTAATATTAATGCTCTATATTGACATCAATACTAACAATTGCCAGCCTCAGAAATGCAAACTGCTTCTATCTGCCATCCTCTTCCTGACTTCAGCCAAACCCCACACCAAATTGCCTTAGGATACTGGGTCTTGGTTGTTCTATGGTACTGCCATTTTGTCTTAAGTTGAAATATTTAGAAACAAAAGCATTACCTGAGTTGATTTTTTTTTTTTTTGCATTTGATTACATATCCTCCTAATTATTCTCTACTTTGCAGTTCCAGCTCCTTTTCCCCTCTGTGATGGTTGTAGTTGAACAAATTAAAAGTCAAAAGGTGAGAACTTTCCTTTTTCTTTTTGCTCTAAGCACCAAGGAAATACTAGTAATTAATTTTGCCTTACATTATTTTTTGAAGGCCTTAGTTTTTACTAGTTAGTTCTTTCATTCAACAATATCTGCTTGAGTATCATACTAAGTGTCAGGAATGCAAAAATAAGATATGACCCTTTCCTTAAGCACCTTCTGGTCCAGAAGGCAGAGGAAATGTTAATAGATGTACCTAAGAATGTTGCCGGGGTAAGAAAAAAATGCCATGGATGTTTGGAGGTGAGAACAGTCTGTACTAATGGTTTAGAACTGTTGGGTATGGGGGCCGGCCCGGTGGCGCACTGCTACAGTGTGCCGCTTGGGAAGCGCGGTGGCGCTCCCGCCGAGGGTTCAGATCCCACATGCAGACCGGTTCCCGCTCACTGGCTGAGCGAGGTGCGGGGGCAACACCGAGGGTTGCAGTCCCGTTGCCGGTCCCGGCCCGGTACGGGCGTGACACTGAGGGTTGCGATCCGTTGCCGGTCACGAAAAAAAGACAAAAAGGAAAAAAAAAAAAAAAAGAACTGTTGGGTATGGATCTTGAAGAGCAGAAAGTTAATCCTTAGAAAGAAAGAAGGTAGTAGGTTTATGGTTAGGGTGCTGGCAGTTTTCTGAGAATTATGAGATCAGTGGATGAAACCCAGATATTTATTAGTTAAATATACCTATTTTTGTCACAAGGTTTTTATCATATGCATTGAAAAGTTAGGATCCTCAGTGTCAAAAGAATGTCTTTTCTGGGCAGTGTTAATAACTGAGGAATAAAGTGCTTTGAGATTTTACATTAGAAGAATCTGCTGTCCTGTTGAATTGGCCTATAATTGGACCGAGTGGACAAATGTATTAAACATGTTTAAGCTCAAGTCTCCATGTTTTTAAGCTTTTAAATTTGTGCCTTAGCTACTAGGGGTATTCACCTTGATTAACATAACTAGTTAACCTGTTGATTTGCCACATTGCTACTTCACTTTTTGCTGTGTAAGTATCCAAACCTCAATGCTCTGCTGCATTCATGCTGTGCCAGCCAAGCCAGTAGGAAGGTGCTCTTTGGCCCTTTAAAGCCAATTGCCCTCGTCAAATTATAGCATCCAGCTTTTATTATTGTGCACTTGCTCTCTACGAGGCACTGTGCTAAGTGCTTCACATATATTATCACATTCAATCCTCTAAAGGGTTAAGTAGGTTAAGGAATGTGCTCAGGCTCACACAGATGGTAGTAAATGGTAGAGCTGGGATATAAACCCAGGTCTATCTGACGCCAAAGACTATGCTCGTAACCACTATATTAAATTATATTCCAAAATGGGAGGGGAACTTTTAGGTAAGTGTAGTTAGTGTTATTGGCATAAGGGTGCCTACCTACCAGCATATCTCAGTTGACTTTTGGCTTCCATTGGCTATAGGAGAGTGGAAAACAAATAGAGGGACTTCAGCTGTGTGAACCTTCCTTCCTGCCAGATGGTGGTAGAAGATAGTGTGCCAAAGCTCTAAGAGTTAAACAAAAATAAGGTAGTCAGGAGCATGGGCTGGAGGTGAGAACAGGAATTGATTTCAAACAGGCACAAGGCATCTTTTTGGAGTGATGAAATGTTATTAAACTGGATTATGGTGATGGTGCCATCAATTCATTTAAAATGTTTGAATAGTACACTTAAAACAGGTGAATTTTATGGTATGTAAATTGTACCTCACAGTGGTTTTTTTTTAAAAAAAAGAGCCTGAAGGACACAGAGGCAGTGGATTTGGGGGAAAACATATACCTTATAAGTAGTCTGAATTGGTCCTTAGCCTGAAATAAAGAGCTTTCCTTGGCTTTGGAGTTCTAATTCTAAATGATTCTGGTTTCTTTAGTGCAGTGGTTCTCAAACTTCACTGTGCATTAGAATCACAGGAGGGCTTTTTATTTTTTCTTTTATTTATTTTTTTGGTTCAATATAGAATATGAGTTTATGTTGCATGAAAATTGACAAAGCTGTATTTTCTACAGATTCATGGTTGTCAAATCCTGGAAATGGTCTATAAACATAGCTGTGGGGGGTTGCCTCCTGTTCGAAGTGCACTGGAAAAGTAAGTTGTGGCTTAATTGGAGATTGGCAGTGGAGGTGGGTGCTCAAGTTACTTGACTTTCATGTTTTATTTTCAGGTCATTTCAGGTTTCCCTCTTGAGAAAGTTATGACCGGAGTAGAAAAAGCAGAGAAGCCCAGATAATCTTTATGATGGCTCAGGCATTGCAAAGAGAGGCTTATAAAGTGTTGAGTATCAAAGCCAGGACTTAGCTGCCTAGATGACCTTGAGGCATTCCTTTTTAATATTTGGATCCCATTAACCTTATAGGATTTCCATTACATGTGCCAGATATTGCTTGCTATGTCTAAACATATATATTTGAGTAGCTGGTATTTTCACGTCAAGGTCCTTGAAAATGTTTCTACTTTATAATCCCATAATGCCACTCTTAGGAATTTTATCCTAACAAAATTATTATTATTATTATTATTTGCAGCTGGATGATATGGAAAATTATTTAAAAGAAGAAAGTAACCGTATACATAGACATATTCATTGCAATGTTGCCTATTATATCAGGAAATTAGAAAATTAGCAGCAATAGAAGAAAAGCTAAATAAACACACGTTCAGTTGATAGACTATAAAGCCACTAAAATTATACATACCATAACAGCGTGTAAAAATATTTTATATAATACTTATTGAAAAATCATACAAAATTATATTTGTCTTATGATTACAACCATGAAAAATATATGTGGAGTATGATCAAAGATTGCCTGTTTGATCTTCCCATTTCCCTCTTTCTCCTAATTTTTAAAAAAGAGTGTGGCATTAATTGAAAAATTGTGATAGATGATCTCTAAGGACCTTCACAACTCTTAATCTCTACTATGACCACTGTACAAATAAACCCTCAAAAGAGCAGGATAGGCCAGCCCGGTGGCACACTGGAGAGTGCGCCGCTTGGGAGCGTGGCGCCGAGGGTTCGGATCCCATGTAGAGACCGGTTCCCGCTCACTGGCTGAGCGTGGGGTGGGTGCAACACCGAGGGTTGCGATCCCGTTGCCGGTCCCCGGTACGGGCGTGATACCAAGGGTTGCGATCCCGTTGCCGGTCCCCGGTACGGGCGTGATACCAAGGGTTGCGATCCCGTTACCGGTCAGTAAAAAACACATAAAGGAAAAAAAAAAAAGAGCAGGAAATTTTCCAGAACATGTTTTAGGAACTTAATTCTCTATTATAATTTTATGCATAGAATTTAAAATTTTATGTACATATGATATATACACATATGTTATATAAATGCAGGGACCAAATTTTATAGGCCACCTACTCATAATTAGACTCAGGTTAAACATTTTTGGCAAGAATACTACACAGGTAATATTATTTCCCACTTCATTACAGCACAGAAAGTATATTTATTCCATTTCTGCTGTTGTGAATTTTGATCACTTGGTTTAGGTGTTTTCCATCAGAATCTCTCCATTGTAGAAGTACCTTTTCCCCTTTGTAATTAATATGTTAGTTGGTAGGTGATCCTTTGAGACCATCTGAATATCCTATTCCCCAACAACCTTTCTTTTTTTTTTAAAAAGATGACCGGTAAGGGGATCTTAACCCTTGACTTGGTGTTGTCAGCACCACGCTCAGCCAGTGAGCGAACCGGCCATCCCTATATGGGATCCGAACCCGGGGCCTTGGTGTTATCAGCACCGCACTCTCCCGAGTGAGCCACAGGCCGGCCCCCCAACAACCTTTCTGAATTTTGTTTTAGTTTCTGCATTTTATTGGATAATACTTTTTCATGTATACCTGGCATTCACATATTGAATCTTCTCTCCCTATGTGATTCCAACAAAATTTCTACTTTTTTGATGTAAGCACTTATTACAATAAATTCCCTCTTAGTACTACTTTTGCTGTATCCCATACGTTTTGGTATGGTATGCTTCTATTTTCATTTGTTTCAAGGAAATTTTTGATATCCTACTTAATTTCATCTTTGACCCATTGGTTGTCCAGGAGCATGTTGTTTGATTTCCATGTATTTTTACAGTTTCCATAGTTTCACTTTTTACTGATTCCTAGTTTTATTCTATTGTGGTCTGAAAAGATATTTGATATGATTTCAATTTTTAAAAATTTGTTGAGACTTGATTTGTGGCTAATGTGGTCTATACTGGAGAGTGATCCATGTGCTGATAAGAAGAATGTGTATTCTGTAGTTGTTGGGTGGAATGTTCTGTAAATGTCTGTCATGTCCATTTGTTCTATAGTGCAGTTTAAATCCAAGGTTTGTTCAGGCTTATAATACCAAGGTCATGGGTTCAGATCCCCATATCAGCCAGCCACCAAAAAAAAAAAAAAAAAAAAATCCAATATTTCTTTGTTGATTTTTTTCATCAGATTATCTTTGCAGTGCTGAAAGAGGGATCTCAAGGTCCCCAACTACCATTGTTTTGGGGTCCATCTCTCCCATTAGATCCAATAATATTTTCTTTATATATCTGCCTGATCTAATGTTGGGTGCATATATATTTACAATTGTTAAATCCTCTTGCTGAATTGATCCTTTTATCATTATATAATGTCCTTTGTCTCTTATTATGGTTTTTGGTTTAAAGTCTGTTTTATCTGATAAAAGTATAGCTACTCCTGCTCATTTTTGGTTTCCATTTGCATGGAATATCTTTCCCCAGCCCTATACTATTAGTCCCTGTGTGTCTTTAGATGTGAAGTGAGTTTCTTGAAGGCAACATAGAGTTGGGTCTTGTTTTTTAATCCATTCAGCCAGTCTGTATCTTGTAATGTGGAATTTAATCCATTTACAGTCAAAGTTGTTATTGAAAGGTATTGCCTTACCTGACATTTTATTAATTTTTTATGGTTGTTTTATATATCTTTTGTTCTTTTCATTCTGTTTTGTTTGTCTCTGCCACTTGATGTTTTTTTGTAATGACAAGATATAATTTCTTGCTATTTCTCATTTGTGTTTCTGTTCTACCAGTGAGTTTTATTCTTTCACATTTTATCATGATGATAGTTATAATTCTTTTGCTTCCAGATGTAGGACTCCCTTAAGGATTTCTAACACGGCCAGTCTTGTGGTAGTGAATTCCCGCATTTTTTATTTGTCTGGGAAAGACACTATTTCTCCATCATTCCTAAAGGTTAGCTATGCTGGCTATAGCATTATTGGATGGCAGTTTTTTCTTTCAGTGCTTTGAATATATCATCCCATGTTCTCCTGTCCTGTAAGGTTTCTGCTGAGAAATCTGCTGTAAGTCTGATGTGGATTCCTTTATAGTTGACTTGATGCTTTCCTTTTGCTGTTTTTAGAATTCTGTCAACTTTTTTTTTCTTTCTTTCTTTTTTTTTTTTTTTTTTTTTGTGGTGGCTTGCTGGTACAGGGCTTTGAACCCATGACCTTGATGTTAAAAGGCTGTGCTGTAACTGAGCTAACCAGCCAGCCCTGTCTTCAGGTTTTGACAGTTTGCCTACAATGTGTCTTAGAGATGACCTTTTGGGGTTAAATCTGTTTGGGGATCTTTGAGCCTCTTGGATCTGGAAATCTATATCTCTCACAATATTTGGAAAATTTTCAGCTATTATTTCATTAAATAAATTTTTGATGCCTTTTCTTTTCTCTTTCCCTTCTGGAACAATCATAATACAGATATTTATATGCTTAAAGTTGTTCCATAGATCTTGAAGCCTTTCTTAATTTTTTTTTAAATTCTTTTTTTTTTTTTTTTTTTTTGGCCAACTGGGTTGTTTTGAAACACATGTCTTCAAGTTCAGAAATTCTTTCTTCAGAATCCTCTAGCTTCTTGCTTAAGCTCTCAGTTGTGGGGGGTTTTGTTTGTTGTTCGTTTGTTTCCATTGAATTCTTTAGTTCCAAGATTTCTGCTTGGTTCTTTTTCATAACATCTATCTCTTTGCTGAATTTCTCCTTTAGATCCTGAATTGTTTTTCTTATTTTTTGTGTTGTCTATCTGTATTTTCTTGCATCTCATTGAGTTTCTTTAAGGTTATTATTTGGAATTCTTTTTCAGGCATTTCATAGATTTCCTTTTCTTGGGTGTCTGGTACTGAAAAATTATAGTATTCCTTTGGGGGCGTCATGGTTCCTTGTTTTTTCATGTTTCTTGGATCCCTACATTGATGTCTGTGCATTTGGTTGAACAATCACTTCTTTTAATACTCTGTAGTAGCTTTTGAAGGGAGAAACTGTTTCCTGTAGATGTGATCTATAGTGGCAGTCGGATAGGGTGTCTTAGGTTTTGTTCTGGATGAGCACAGTAGTATAGTGTCTATTTGATTTTTTGGAGCATATTCAATGTCAGAGTTGTCTGTGAGTGCCTCTGTGGCCCAGGCACTGGAGTGCTCAGCAGCTCCTTGCTGGAGGGGGCAACATTGGGCTGGGTTGCAGGGGTCAAGTACAAGGTCTTGAGCTCTTGGGAGAAGTGTTGGGGTGCTCATCTGCTACCCAGCTGGAGTGGGAAACCCTGGGAAGGGTTGTTGGGGTCAAGTTTAGGACCTTGAACTTTGAGGGAGACAATGAGGTGCTCAGCAGCTCTTCAGCTGTAGTGATCAATTCTGGGCAAAGTCACTGGGGCTGTGGGTATGACTCTGTACCCCCAAGAGAGATGCTAGGGTGCTCTGCAGCTGCTCAGTTGGAGTGGGCCACTCTTAATGAGGACTCTGGGGTTGTATATGGGACCCTGTGCCCCCAAGAGAGACTCTGGGGCACTGTGCAGCTTCACCATTAAAGTGGGCTGATCTAAGTGAGGTAGCAAGGGTTGTGTGCAGACCCTCAAGAGAGACACTGAGTTGCTCTGCATCACCAGCATTGGGGTGGGCCATTCTGGGTGAGGTCATTGCGGTTTGGGGTAGAACCCTGCACCCCCAAGAAGAATACTAGGTTGCTTTGCAGCTCCTCAGCTGGGGTATGCCACTCTGGTCAATCCTTCTGTGGTTGTGGGTGGCTCTCTTGCCACCAAGAGAGATGTTTGGGCTCTCTGAAGCTCCTGAGCTGAAATGGGCCACTCTGGGCAAGGTTGCTGGGATGGTGGTTGGGCCCCCACAACCCAGGAGAGACACTTGATTATTCTGCAGCTCCTCAGCTGGAATGGGTTGCCACATGCAATGTCATTGGAGTTGTGGATAAACACAGGCCTGTGTTTAGAATGTTTCTACATAGCAGTTTAAAGCATGACCTCTGTGGTATTTGTGGGGTTTAATATTCTCTAAGTGGACTTATAAGCCTCTTTACTTCCTCTCTACTCAGAATCCTGGCTGTTTGTCATGGGGTCATGTATAAACAGCTCTCAGCCTGGATGCTACATGGACTCCTCTTAGACCAGCATGAAGAGTTCTTTATCAAACAGGGTCCATCTTCTGGCAATGTCAGTGCCCAGCCAGAAGAGGATGAGGAGGATCTGGGCATTGGGGGACTGACAGGAAAACAACTGAGAGAACTCCAGGACTTGGTGAGCGCACAGCAAGCAGCCTAGCATTCTCCCACCAGGAGTCTGAAAAATCTACAGTTACATGATTTTTGGTGATCACTTCTCAGCTTATAATAGCCTGTGCACCTTCCATAAATTCTTGAGATATAAACATTTGGCTTTGTCTTAATTAATATAAGGCCACAAAATAGAAAATATGTCTGCATGATTCCCCCCCCTCCCTTTTTTTTTTCCCTTTTTGTCTTTTTTCGTGACCAGTAACGGGATCACAACCCTTGGTGTCGCGCCCGCACCGCGCTCAACCAGTGAGCAGACAGGTCTCTATATGGGATCCGAACCCTCGGCGGGAGCGCCGCCACACTCCCAAGCACCACACTCTACCAAGTGCGCCACCAGGCCAGCCCATCCCCTTTTCTTAATATATGCATTTAAGAGGTTAAGTCTTGTCTCTACAAGTGGTAGGTACCGTATAGCTTTTTTTTTTTCTTTAACCACTCACTAGACTACCAGAGAACCTATAGCTTTTAAATGCAGTTTGGAGTTTAGATGACACTCCTCAAAGTCCTATATTGTCCATATTTATTCATTCATCTGGTCATCCATTCATTCATTTATCCTGTTACAACATTTCATTGAATGCCTAATATGTGCCAAGCACTATTCTAGGTGTCACAACTATGTAGACAAATAAAATGTAGTAGTCCCTGTCCTTAAGGAGCTTATAGTTCAGTGGAAGATGTAGAAAGTAAACATTACAGTGTACTAAGTGCTCTGAAAAGTGTGTGTTTGGAACATGGTCTTGGGGTAGGGTCTTGGAGTAACTAGAGAAAGCTTTTCAGTGGAGTTTGAGAGGAGAAGTTAAGAAATGTCCAGGCAGAGAGAATGAAGTACGTAAAGGTACAGGGGCCATGAAGGACATGGCTCATTTGGGGAGCCATTAGTAATTCAATTGAAATGGTCAAGTAAAAGCCAAAGTATAATAAGTAAGAGATGGTGGCAGAGGAGGAAGTGGCAATCAATAAAGCTGTTGAGTTAAACAGAGGCTAGATCGTGACGGCCCTTGTAAACAATGGGAAGAAATTTGGACTTGAACTTGAAAAGTGCTGGGAGCCATTGGAGAATTTTAGGCAAGAGAGTAGCACGATCAAACTATGACAGAACCGGGAGATTCCAAGATGGCGACGGGTCTGGAGCGGCCGTGCCAGGTTACAGCGCGATCCTGAGAAGTGTGCGCTGTGATACCAGAATACTAATTGTATTTCCAAGAGCAACAAAAAACGAATAATTCTTTCAACAACGATCCTACAACAACAAACAA